ATCAGACTGACATGCCACACTTGTATCTGGCCCACAGCTTTGGAATAAAATTCTGTTTATTCTGCTGCTAGAAAGTCTGGTAGGTGGGAGGCTGTTCTGCATGGCTTTGCCATTCAGTCAGTTCATTCTCTTGCATGATAAATCTGGAAATTTAGCATTATCAGATATTTTTTTTGTATCTATATACTAGAGGCCAAGGTCGGCTGTGGAGCAAATAGTGTTTCACCTGCTGAAACTGGAGCTGAATTACCCAGTTTTGGTGCAGTGACTTTTAACACATAGGAGGGAACACATTTTGATGACCTGTTGATTTACTGTTATAATGGAAATTAGGGATTTTATTGGACTGATACAATGGAGAGGAATACACTTCGATAATCTTGCAGGCTTTTAGTGGATACAGGCTACCAACTGCAATAATTGCTGTATTTTACATGCGTGTCCTAAAAGCTCATATTTGTGTCTCTTGAAGCAACAGGGATGTTCTTGGAGAAAGGCATATTTGAATAGTCTATGTTGACAGATATCTCCAATTCATGCACCACTTTTATTTACTTGTAGCTCCACAAGCACAAACTGGCCACCCACCACCAGCACATAAAAAGGCTTGTTTTTTCAGTAGCAGGATGCTTCTGTAATGCCCTGTACCGCTAACATAAAAACAGTGTGAATTTCTCCAGGACCCAGTTGGACACAAGCATGCCCACACTGTCCTTTGCCCAAATTGACACACCTGCTTTGTCGCTGCTAGCATTTGTGTCACTGCTGGCACTGCAGATCCCATGTGATTGTCTGCAGCTAACTTTTCATTTTGTGACTTCTGGGTCCACATTAGTGTGCAAAGGTATATTGAGAACTGAGTCTTGACTGCAATTCTTTGATTTCCCCTATTGAAAAACAAAACCAAAAGCCTCAAACAAAAAGTACTAGTAAAATTGGATTTGAAAATGTCACCTTATGCCCCCAGCCAGGGTTTGACTACACTAAGCTGAAGAGTAGGATGAGAGAGCAACTGAAGAGGTCACTGTGGTTTGCCCCATTGAACTTTGCACTGTTAGTACTGACATGTGAGAAAACCCTCCTGCAGGCTGGTAATATCATGAGATGTGTTTTTTTTAACTGCATTCAACAGGAAATGAAGTGCCATTTAAAGATATCCAATCAGCTTTTGTATCTTTTCTCCTCCACTTCTTGCTTGATTTATCTACCCTCTTCCTGTTCAACTACTTGCTTTCATCTGGTTAGCAAGAGCTGAGCTGCTGATGGTTCAAGAGGATTGACTGATGAGGGTAATGATATGCATGTAGTATAGACTGTCTCTGTCTTTGTGTGTTTTGTGCAGAAGGCAGATGGAACATGTAACACAAACTTCAAAACTACGAAGACACAGGAGCAAGTTCTACAAGTTTTTGTGGAATTCATTGAGGGCAACACAACTATTTTGGTGAGTCTGAACTCTTCAGGTTCACTGATCTTTGACCCCATGAATTTGCTTCAGGGCCGTGCTTCCTCTCATACAAGAAAAATGAATTAAACTACCAAGGGAGAAAATGGTTTCAACTTTCAGTCCCCTTCCAGCAGATGGAGTGGACAGGGGTACTTGGTAGGCTGGGAGAAGTAGTTGGCTGAGACCAGTTCTGTCGGCTCTTGCCACGAGTTCACCCCAAATTCCTCATGCTAGCAAAACATCAGTCAAGCTAACTTAAGGCCATGGGTGTTAGATGCATTAGAGGGATGATGTCTAAGCAAGGATTGTGTTGGCAGGAAAACTTGTGATTTGGGAATTCAGTCTGGAGAGGATAAAACCAGAGCATGGGGGCAGGAAGTGAGATTGATGGCTGGCTGTGCTCCTATGTGTGAGACTCGCCTCAAAGAGCAATCCTGGTACACTACTTCACAGCAGGGTAGCACAGCAGGCATGTGGTAGATGGCATAACATGTCACTTGTCTTTGGAACTTCAAAGGATGCCGTAGAGTTTTGCTGCAGTGTAGAAGCCATTATGAAGACAGAAGAGCCCTCCAGGAGCACTATGCTTGGTAACACAGGGCAGCATTAAAAATGTATACTAGAGCTTTATGCATTAGACCTTGATTATCCCCTCCACCCTGGTTAGAACTGCTTGTCTTTCTAACACATTTCATTCTCTTTTCACTGTGGAGAACTGAAAGATTTGTAATTGCTTGAGAATTTTTTTCTCTTTATTGAAACAGAAGAAAAAAAAGATGCAGAAAGTCTCACTGAATACAAAGCAAGACAAATAAGTATGCTTGGTGTAACACATGCAGCAGAGGAACCCCAGTCTGTTTATTCACTGTGAAAGCCTGTTGAAGTCTATTTGCAGATCGACTTTCAAATGATGAACCTGTTGTTTTGAAAGACCTCTAGCCTAAAATTAACATAATCTCTTTATTGTATTGACTCTTGTAAACAGAGTATCTTCATTCATTCTTTACTTAAATGTTTATGGGTTGTTTTGTTTTCTCCTCTTCCTCCAGAAAAAATACCTCAAGCGTCTGCAGGAAATCCATATCATTCTTGAATCCTCAGACTTCTTCAAGCGACATGAGGTGAGCAGTGAGTGTAGTGCTGAGGAGGTGCATTGCTGCTTTGTTTGATCATAGAATCATAGAATAGTTAGGGCTGGAAGGGACCTCAAACATCATCTAGTTCCAGCCCCCCTGCCATGGGCAGGGAAACCCTCCACTACACAAGGTTTCCCAAAGCCTCATCCAGCCTGGCCTTGAACACTTCCAGAGATGGGGCATCCACAGCTTCTCTGGGCAACCTGTTCCAGTGCCTCACCACCCTCTGAGTGAAAAATTTCTTCCTTACATCTAATCTAAATCTCCCCTCTTTCAGTTTAAATCCATTGCCCCTTGTCCTATCACTACATGCCCTTATAAAAAGTCCCTCTCTAGCTTTTCTGTAGGCCCTCTTTAGGTACTGGAAGGCTGCAATAAGATCACCTCGGAGCCTTCTCTTCTCCAGGCTGAACAGCCCCAACTCTCTCAGCCTGTCTTCATAGCAGAGGTGAGGTCCTCCAGCCTCGGATCATCTTCATGGCCCTCCTCTGGACCTGCTCCAGCAGCTCCATGTCCTTCTTGTGTTGAGGACTCCAGAGCTGAATGCAGTATTCCAGGTGGGGTCTCACAAGAGCAGAGTATAGGGGCAGAATCCCCTCCCTCGACCTGCTGATCATTCAGATGTACTTCAGAATAGCCTGCTGTATTAGTAGAAAGGAGTTTGTAGTAGAAGAAAACTAATTTATGTTGAAAACACAGATACCACAAAACCTCCATCACAACGATGCAGAAGAATAAACCAGTTGAGGAATAATAAATCCCCCCATCTTTAGAACATCCCAGAACTTATAGCCCTGGGCCACTGCAGAGAATGTTTTATTAGTACCAGTTTCCTGTGGTTTCTCTAATCTTGGTATGTTCCAGTGGGAATCTTACAGGGGAATGGTAACGTGGAAGCTTGCATTTGGTACAGTAGCATTGAATTGTAGTTTGATACTGAAGGCTTTATTAGTTATACTGGATTTATGTTGAAACACTGTGTAATTCTACTTTATATGTTATCCTTGTATGCTTTGCTGTGGAGAAGGCATCATTAACGTTGTAAGTTCTGCTTTTTACAGCTCCAGATTTTGAAATCAGACACTTTATTTTATCTTGTTGATTTCCTCTTGTCAATAGCAGCATATTTGTTAACCATGGGTCATGGTCACTGACTTTTGCTGAACTGCTCAAGTTGAGACCTGCTGCCAAGTGAGCTGGAGAATTGCCTTTCTTCCCTTTGTCTACTGGGTCCCTTTTCCCATCTATATGCCCATTTACTAATTGATACGGTTATGCAAATGGGGCATATAAATTGTCAATGAGTAAGTGCAGCCCAAGTCACAAGTGAAGAGGTCACCTTAGTGGGAAGTGTTAAGTGATGGGGGAGAGCTAAAGAGTTGTTTTTAACCACATCATCTCAATCTGTCTTCCAGGTCGTTGGAAGTTCACTACTTTTTGTACATGATGGCAGTGGGAATGCCAATGTGTGGCTGATCGATTTTGGAAAGACCACGCTTCTCCCTGATGGGCAGACACTGGATCATAGGATCCCCTGGCAAGAAGGCAACAGGGAGGATGGGTACTTGTTAGGGTTGGACAATTTGATTGGCATCTTGGAAAGTATCACTGAAAGATGAACTGAGAATGGCACAAAACTTGCAGGGCTGCTCTGAAACTTTCTACTCTACTGGGTCATCAGCGCAGAGGGAGCTGCATCCAGAACCTGGCAGTTAGTGATCAAAAGGACTTTGCATCGTCCCTGTATGAACCTAAAATACTCCAGATCGGTCTGTATTGTGCCAGCCTAACTTCAGACTGGTCCTCAGAGAACGAAGATCTCCATACTCAGGAATCACATCCGCATGAGGCAAGAGGTCTGTATGGTAAACCAGAATGATTCTGGTTTCTGGCAAACAGATGGGACTCCAGATGACCTCTTAGTGAACAAGAGCAAGTGCTTGGGGATTCAAGGTACTGCGTAGTTTTGAAACCAGCAAGAGTGTTGTTTTTTTTCATTTCCCCTAATTTCAAGTCTTCTTGCTCATGCGTACACTATAGTCTGGACTAACAACTTCTGCTGCATTGTGTTACAATGTGCACAAGGTGGAAGTGGGTGATAATCACAAGAAACCTGGAGCAAAGGGAGACAGCAGTTTGTAGTGGATGGATGCGGTAACTGCTGTTGACCATCCCTCCTCTTCCCTACCCTAGCCTGGATTCACTTCTATCCAAGAACAGCCTTTGCTTTTTGTGTAGCCTCTCAGGAGATTACAGATACCCTAGGGAGAGAATAGCAGCCTATTGTCTCCAAAAACATTTGACTTTCAGACTGGATGAGCTGTTGGAAAAGTGCCTAGCTTGGCAAGTTTGGCCTCTTGCAGCTGAACTGCAGTTCTGAAAATCACTGATGACTCTTTCGCACACAGAGCGGGGAACTAAGGGTTTTTTTCAAGGCTTGTTTATTTTTAAAGATAAAACCTCTATACATGTGCACATACACACAAAAGCCAGTAGCCAGCAACCAATGTGATCTCTTGAGATCGTGGTTTGACTGTCTCCTAATGCATGTGACTTCTTGGCCATGTTCCTGTTCCAAATACGATGCTGTCACTTAAGTGTATAGACTGGCGCAGCGATCAGGAAGGTAATGTTTCTGCATTCACAGCATTACACTAATGATGAGAGAATTCCCAAGCTTTCTTCCTCCCAGGTATATCAACTGTTAACTCAGGGCAGTTTGGGGGAAGGAGTGTCAATATATGACATTCTCTAGTCCCTGTCTGGAATCACGAGGCCATCTGTGGTTCATTCTTCTTTTGCTGTGGCCCAGGCATGGCCGCAGAAAATTCACAGTGGTCAGGTTAAAATCAAGAAAGCCTGAAGTGATTTCTTCTAATGGCTTCACATACCTTCTCTGTTGGTTGCCTCTAGTCACTTGAACAGTTCTTTAAATACTAGCAGTATAAATACTATCAGTATTCACATGTTCACTCACATTCCAGATTTTAACATTAATAACGTGATGATGCAGTTTTCAAAATGAGGACGAGACTTATGTTACTATTTGATTGTTAATCCCCTTTCAACGTGCTTAGCTAGTAGTGCGCATTGATCAGAAATTGCCATCTTTTGCTGGTTTCCTGTGCTCAGGAGAGATTCTGAGAATTTTAGGATATATGAAGGTGAGTTCATGCTTCGAGAAACTGCTATTGCAATAATAATTGTGATCATAAGAAAAAAAATGACTGTAGAGTCCAGATCTGGAACAAAATCTATCTAGACATTTGTAATTAGAATTGAAGAGCCTAAAATAACTTCTAAAAGGAATTACTTTAGATAACACACTACTGTACTAAGACATCAGTCAGATTTAATGACTTCTTCATCACTTCTAAACAAAACAGCAGTATTAAAAGTTCAAGCTCAGTTGTTACCTAACATTTAGATGAGAGTGAGTATTTTGTAGGAAGTAATGACACATGGAAACATTTCATCCTAAAACAGAAGTTGTTTGAAATTGGTAATTATTTTTGTAGTTCACCGCAAATTTAGATGACTTCTGTGGCCTCCCAGAGTCCCTTTCAGTTTTGTTTTCATGCTAGTATGTTAATCAAGTTCCCACTTAGATATTTCAGAGGCTTTACACTTTTTTTTTTAAGTGACCACAAGCCTTTAATAATGAGCACAGATATTATCATTCCAGGTGCCTCCTAACTTTTGACCTGCTATGAGATGACAAATTTGTGGTGAATTTCATACAGTTTAAAAAAAAAGAAAGTCTTCCTCCTTTCCTGCAGCCAACAGGATAAGCCATTGGTTAGCAGCAGGAGAATAGGAATTAAATAGGTCTCACAGGAGAGGACTTTTATAACAATACCTTTTCTATGAGACTGCAATTGCAAGCAGTCTTACCATAATTAAAAAAAAAATGAATTAGAGAAGTTAGAAGTGAGACTGTTAAGGTGATAGAATTCATTAGTGGTTTGCCCAGTTAATCTTCAGAGTTAAATTTCTTTCTTCTTTTACCACGTATGTGAATCTTTTGCACCAGCATAACTTATTCTCTAGAGGGGAGATTTAGAGGGTAAAGCTCACATGTCAGTTGAGAATTTGAGACAAACTTTTAGAATGACTGTCCACTCGAAAGGAGAACTAGAAGCAATGTGGTACCAGTAGCTTCAACTGCTGCTAGCACCTGGATGGTTTGCCGCACATGGCCTTGAGGGAAAACATGGCGAATGATCCATTCCTCTGCAGTAGTTGAAAAGGTCAAGGGAAGAAAAGAAATCCTCTACTATAGCACACCCTGGTCTGGAAACTCATTCTAGATAATAAATAGTTCTAGCAAGTTAGTTTTGAAATGGCCCTTTGGCTTGCTATGGGATTAGAAGGGAAGAAGCCACAATCATCTTCTGCTGTTACAGAAGAGGAGAAAAGGAGGCAGCTTTTCATTAGCAAACTGCAAGTGTAGAGCTGTAACTGAACACTGGAGCTCTAAGGGGCTGGAGGCTACGAGCTCATGAGCACTACTACAGGGTAAGTTAGATACCTTGATTCACAGCGGATGGCCCAGAGTGTGTACGCTCACTTGCTAGTGTGAGGAAGCAGCGTCGCCTTCTTTCACTATGGGGTAAGTTGCCTTGAATAAGCTTTGATTTACCAGAGGGTCAACATGATGCCTTTGCACAGGCATGTAACATAGAAGAGCTGATGAATGATAACCAAGGTACTTGTTCACATACAAGTCCAGAATGTAGTTCTTTAATGCCTCCACTGAGGTATTGCCTCACTCTGGAGACACCAGGAGCACGTGTGTTTCCACAGCATGGTAAGACATGCTGACCCAGAGGCACTTTGGTGCTGAACAGCTAACCTCTGACTTAGGCATCAAGGTCTTTAAAGTCACTAGTTAGATGCAGCAATGCTTACGACTGTAGCTGCTGCATTGCTGTGTGAATCTAGCACTAGGACTTCTCTCCCTCAGCTTTGTCAGTGACATGTTTTTTTGGCCTTGGGCAACTGTCCTAGGCCTCAGTTTCATTCCTGTTTTGCAGATGGGAATAGTACCTGCTTGACAGGAATGGTGCGAGGCTGTCCTTCGTTACTGCTTGCAAGATGCTGTGAGATTCTTTGGAGGAAGGTGCAATATAGCAAGACATGCACAAAGAAATACATCAGCTAAGTTTAAAAATTGAGTGTTGGGGCCCCACAAGGATATGAATTTGGATGAAAGCTAACGAAAGTGGTAAAAATTAAATCCCTTTTAATCTTACACAGGGGGCAAATTCACTTAACATCTGATCCAGTTCCTGTTATAGGGAAGGATGTCAATGGGAGTTGGACCAAACCCTTAAGTATTTCAGAGGGCTCTTGCTTTTTTTTTTTTTTGTATTGCTCTTGTTATTACTTGTTATTCTTAAGGTACTGAGATCAAATGGCCTGTATCATACACAGTGCATCCGTTCTGAACACTACAATGCAATGCTGACCATGGTCACTTTTGACATTGACTGTATTGGTTGAGTGTTTGTACTCTGAAGTGTGTATGCTACTAAATAAATGAGACTGAAGGAAAAAACATCCACTGTGATTTGGTCACTGGACAGCAATATCTTTTCTTCAAGAATTTCTTTAGGGAAGGGGAAAAACCTGTTTATTTCAGTGTTTCTTGTGCTTTTAGTCTTTAGCATCTAATATTTCCTAAAACAAAACGAGTTCTAAAACATCTAGAAGCTAATGTTGGAACTTGGTTCCAAAACCCATTTGTTACATTTGTTTTAGAACCTGATCCACACAAAGCTTGACAGCTTCTTTCGAGGTAAGCTCTGTCTCAAAAATCTCAAGTTCATAGCCTACAGTATATAAAAAATTTATGCATCAAAAGGCACTTGGCAGATGCAGAGCAGTTAGCTGTTTCACAGGGCATTTTGTGTGACAGCAGGGAACGAGCTGTCAACCCTCTGGGACTGGCAGCACTTCTCAGCAAGAGACAGTGTCTTCTTACTTGTATGCAAAGAGTATTTAGCACAGAGGGAAACAAATAGCCACCACTAGTGTCACTTTATTTTGTGTTGCAGATGTAGAAGTGTACACTTGTTCAGCTTTAGATGACACGCCTGCTTCTATGCAATTTACTTATGTACAGTAGTCACCCAGAAAGGTAAGTTGGCAAGAAGTGCTGCCATGGTCAAATCCAAACCAATACAACTAAATGGAAAAAGTCATGTGACAAGATGGGAAGATGCTAGTCATGTCATGCCTAAGGTCTCTGCATCAGATGGAAAAGGGTAGGCAGCCAGGAGAGTGAGCAAGGCCATGTCTACACGAGAAACTGTCTCATGGAGCTCTGCAGCTCCAGGGTCTGAGGAAGCGTGGTCCCTGGCTGACACACTTGTGGAGATGCAAATACCTCGGGGAAAACCATACTGTACTCCTGGTGGTAGCGTTTTCTTCTCTTTAGGGTAAGTAGCAGGGGAGGGTGTTGGAGGTGGAATAAGTTACGCTTACAAAAGCCCGAACTATTTCAGTGGACTTGCAAAGTTTTCTTAGTGTGCACCTGCCTGTTGGCAAATTAGTGGAGAACTTACGTCAGGAAAAGGGTTGATATGAGGGGGACACCTTAAATCTGTGTAGTAAAAAATTCTGTTTCATGAAAGGGAAAATGAAGATACATAACATCTAAGTTGAGGAGGGAAAAAGTATAACAAAGAATTCAGAAGCAAGAATATCAACATATGCAAAAAGAAAGCAGAGATGGATGAATTGAAGTTTGCATTATTATTTCATCTTTCGTTGTTCAGTCTCCTCTTTAAAACATAGGTGTGAGGTTGTACAAAGCAACATAAAATACTAATGCTGAGCCCAGAAGAAAAAAAACCCCAAAAACTATGTACACGCAAATCTAAATACAAAGTGATAACATGTTGAAAGACAGACACCCATCGGGAAGAGCAATTTATAATACTCTATAAATGGCTGATTCTCCAGGGGGGATGTGTTGAAGACTTCAAGTGGATTACAGGACTGAATTAAGCCCAGATCTCCAGCTCATGTCATTCCTCTAGGAAACAAAATTGAGTTTTGGCTTTCAATTGCCAAAGTAACCTAATTTTGACACTATGGGTTCAATTCATTGATTATGCACTAAAATTGTCTCCTTAAAAAACAGTTTCAAGCAAGTTCTATTGTGAAATGGTAGCAATTGTGCACTATGAAATTGGTGATTGTAGGAACAGAGTAAGTTTCAGTCTCTAAATAGTAGGACTGATGTACTATGTACATAATTGCAGTTATTTTTCTTTTTAGATACTATGGTTTGGACAGCATGTAGCATCTTGGCATCACAACAGGAGTAATATTAGCATTATTTCCTCTGAATATTAATTAAAAATTCATCATCTGTGAGAGTTTTTAAAAAGCAGCTAAGAGATCAGATACACACATTAAAACTGTTACAAGTCACCTGTGCTGACAGAAGACCATTTAGTTCCATTTGAGGGAATTAAGAGTTTATATATAATTTAGGTTGCTAACGCAAGTTCTTTTAAAATTCCTGGCTCTTTCTTTTAGTGCCCATTTGGTGTGTGCAGCTCCATGTTCTGTCTTGTTACAAGACACTGGATCTGGCTCACTACATCCCTGAGCTACCTGCTGTTGTAAACCAGCAAAGTATGTCTAGGAAATAAATACTCACTACATGCTCACTCTACTCTTTTACAGTTGCCCTTCCACACCCCGCTGTTGGTCACTCAGATCATCCTGGGCAGGATGGAGTAGGCATAGCTGCAGCCAAGACTGCCTGTGCCTTGGTGATAGAACTGTGCTCTCAGTTCACTTTTCAATAGCTTATCTATTTTTATCACTATTGGCCTTTCTAAATTTGTGAATTAAGTTGAGGCAAGTGCTGCATATGGGGAAAACAGTGGTAGCTCAAGCTGAGTAACCACAGGCACAGCAGGGATCCTACCTGCTTCTCACTGAGATCTTAGGGGATTGTATAGTCATTTCCATGTGAAAAAATGAACTGCCTTGTGCCTGCTACTTTTTAAAAAGTCTGCAGGAAGGAAAGGTGAGGTAGTGAACTTTCCATGGCTTCCAAACAAGTCAGTATTTCACTCCTCACCACCAACTTCCCACTGGTGCTGATGGCTAAGGAGAACTGAAAGCAGAGTCATAATGGGCCTGCAAAAGCATGGTCATGACCACCAGTGCTCTGCTCAGAACAGTCTGTTACAAACAAAGGTTGGAGTCAGGCCTGGTGCAGCTGAACCAGGATCACTACACTGCTGTGGCCTTACTGCATACACAGGGAGGAAGAGGCTGAGCTGCTGCTGCCCAGTCACAACTGTTGGAGAGTTTGATAGCTCGTCTTCAGGGAAAAACTACTAATGCATAAACCATAGGACTAACATAATCCAAAACGTAAGACTGTTGAAGATAATCTGATGTTCTTACTATTAGCTAAGAGTAGATCTATTTATTCTTCACTAGCATGTTCCAGAGGTGGGCAGCCTGAAACATGGCCAAAACATGTTAGCCTCTGCAAGAGGAAAGAATGAGAAAACTGGGCTTTCCTGCCTCATCTAATTGGGCTGTAGCAGATCCTGGACATAAGGTAGGACAGGCAACGAGCTAAACTGGAGAGAAGCTGGAGAGCTAAAGCAAAAGTGAAATGGAAAGAAGGGCATGAAGCAAGGGCAACCATCTCTCTTGGTCGCTAGTCCATCAGTCCCCACACTGCTCTTGGAATCTGCTCACGCACAGAGGGACCCCTCTCTTCTGACCACCTGTCATTTCCCAACATAGATTTGGAATTCCCATGCTATACGGGTCATTACTGAAAGGCAGCCATTATCACCACTCAGGTCTGGAAACGATGGTCTATAAAACTATTCATTCTATAGGAAGCTATAAGAAGCTTGGAATAGAAACAAAGTCAGACCAACAAAGCATAAACCTGGGCTGAAGATACATTTCACTCAAGATGGATTCAAACTCTTCATTCTGTGATTTTCTGTACCATGTCTCAGTGGTGTCCATCCCTGAATGATGCAGAGGACAGGACGTCAAAGCAAACCCTCTCCTGCCAGCCCACATCTTCAGACTGTACTTGCAGCTGATCACTAAGCATGGAGCTTGTACCAGAGCACCTCTTCCCTCAGAAAGGAACCAGACGGAGTCTGTATGGCATTACACCGTACAACTTGATTAGATACGAACACAGCCTGTGATTTGCCACCATAGGTTGACAGTGCAATATTTGGGAGTGGGACAAGGACAAACTGCTTCTGAGACGTTCAAGCTGAATCCATGTTCTTTACTTTTTCAGTAGCCTTATTTTGCAAGCTTTAACAAGTAACTATTAGTTTAGATCCTAAGCAACAGAAGAAAGCCTTAGAAATGAACTGTCTTCAAAACAAACACAACTACCTTTACCAGCAAGTCCGTATGCTTGGAAGGTGAGAAGAAATGATGACCTGCTCAGGTGTGTGAAGCCAAGTCATGATTTTAGCTTTCAAAATGGTTGAGCTGTTTTACCTTCCTGCGTAAAGGGCACTGTAAGGTGGTGTTTGTATGTATGGGGTTCCCCTTCCCTCTGCCCCTCCCTTGCGTTACTTGGTCTCTACCTCAGAGGAGCAGCTATGAAAACCAAGAACTCCAGCGTGCCAAATGCTAGACAGTTACTTGAGAACCACAGCTTAATGCTTATCAACATAGCACGGGAAATTACTGTTGAATATCGAGGTACTTACAAAAATGAAGTTCATCCCAAGTAAAGTCCATTAAAAGGTAAAGACGGTCCATTTCTCATCACACTACGCGGCTCACCCTTTCTTGGAAAACCACCTGTCCCTTCCACACTGGGAGCTGTGAGGAAAGCAACACCAGGAGGCAAGCAGCATGTTTCCTTCTAGTGTTCAAAGGGATACTCTCTGCTCCACCAACTATTTTTGTTTTCAATACTAAATTTGTTTTCAATACTAAATTTGTTTTCATGGCACATGCTCAGAGGAGCCTGGATTTTTTTCCATCCTTCCTGCTGCTTCCAATTTGAGCAGTAGCTTTGTTTTCATGTTTTTCCACAGGGTCTGCTAAAAAAACATGTAAGTGTGGCTGCTCTTTATTTACTTCCCTTACAGTGCATGAGCATCATTAGTATCAGTACTGTAAAAAGCTCTCAGGAATATAGCTGCCTTTGCAAATTTGTTGCTGCTGGCACAGCATGCATTTTTGGTTTCTTCGGTCAGAAAGCAGCGCAGTCTGTGTTGGTCATTATTTCCATCCAAATGCTGCGCTTGGATGGTAAGTCTGTTTCTTTTCACCTGAGCAGATTGAGGAGGGGTCCTTTCATTAAGCAGTGTGTTCTGAATCAGCAGCAATGCCATTGCTCTCCACTGCTAAGCTGGTTCAGTGGGACACATTTGATGGACGGAGATAGAAACGCAACTGTCTTTAACGATCTGGGGACACAGCAAGTAGAAGGAGGAAGCAGAACTCTGCTGATGTTGAAACACCACCCATCTGAAGGAACTTCAATGGAGGAAGTAAGTGAAATAGGAAGCAGTCCTTCCAGACACATTCTCTGATCCGTGGAAGAACTGCTTCTGTTACACCGGAGTAACACTCAGGTCATCTGACAAAGACAGACCAGAGTCCCTCTCTCTTGATGTTTTCTCTGTTTTATAAAAAGGCTTTTCATCTCTATGCAGACTGGAGGTCCTTAGCACAGCTGCTCTGACCTCTGCCAAAGCTGATGGCTGGTGGTCAGTGCTACAGCACAGGTCATCATAAGCATAATTTACATTGCCGCAGGGGAAAGTCTGGAGTTTCACCAGTTCAATTCCACCGATATCCAGGTGAGGGCAGTTGCTTCGACTTGGAGATGCTGGAGATGCCCGAGAGCTAGGAGAAGAACTGCAATTCCCATCAAAGCCCGAATCTTCCCGCTCTGGAGTTGCTTTGAGCTTAGAGCTGGGGCTGAAGTGACAGATGTTCTCTAGCACCCATGATCCATAGGTTGGGTTCCAAAGATTTTTTGTTTTGTTTTTAAGTCTGTGGGTTGGTGGATTGCTGTGCTCCAACTTCTGGTTTGAGGTCTGCTGGAACCAAGACTCACTGTTGAAATTGCTAAGGCATGGCAGGCTGGGCCCTCGAGCAGTCCGGTTGCTCAGGTTCTCCACCAGTAGCTCTTGTGGACATTGAACAAGTTTATGTGCAGCATGGTGGGAGGCCAGCGTTTTAGGCGTCATCTGAGGTGTGAGAGAAGGGCTTACCAACAGGGGCACTATCCCACTGGAAATGTTTGGGCGCGTGACCATACTCCCTTCATCCTCTGGTGCTGGGCCACACTCCATGGGCAGCTCAGTGTTGATCACATCAGGGTCCTGAAAAGAGAGACAAGAATCTGTCACACTCCGAGCATCTCTAGGGTGACTGTCGCACCTGCGTTTTAACAGAAGTACAAGACCGAAAAAGCTTTTGGCAGAGGCTGACATCAGGTTTGGGCATTAGTCCTGCACATCGTACAAGGTGCTATGAGCCATCTGGATATCGCATGCTGTTAGGATTTGCAAAAATGCTCTCTCGTTTATGGACTTCCTCTGAGCAGAGGCCATGCTTTATTGAAATGAGTGGCTAAGCTGGGGGTCACCAGTATAGAATTTCTCCCTCGAGAGGCTGAATCCAGGCCTGTAGCTGTATAATGCTACCAGATGATGAACTCACCTTGCTGTCTCATTCCCCACCCTCCCCACTCCATACCTATTCAGCTGTGGCTTTTCAGCAACATCAGGCAAGGTCAGAATATGGACTTTGATCTAAACACATTTCCATCATAAAATGAAGGACATTTTGCTACTGAACAAGCTGAGAGCTGAAACTATTCACTTGCACAGGAACAATATAACCTCATTTTTGTTGGGCTGAAGATGGGAGAGGGAGGATGGATACTGGAAAACCCAAATGAAAAGAGCATTTGAGCTAACAGCACTACTACAATTGGGAAAGTAATTATATCAGTCTGCCAGGACTTTTCACTTGTTTTGGACATTAAAGTTTGTGCTTTTGGATAGTTGGCATTCCGTGGATTATCATCCACCTGGATACTAAAGGCATGCACAAATACCTGTGTACAATACTTGATTCTTTCCAGGATGGTGGAAAAGTTTGGCCGATACTCTGGGCTGTGCTGCCAGCACTGTGTCATGATCCGGTACCTTAAAATAATTTAAAAAAGAAAAAAAAGCATTGATCAGGAAAGATAATTGTGTAAAATGTGTTTTAGTATGAAGCAATCATGAGTCCAGAGGTCCATGAGTGTACTGCACTCAGTACATGGCCTGAAAGAGGAGAGACGTCATTTCTGCATCCTTGGATCCTGAGCCATTAGGAGACCATTACTTAAAGCAAATCCTACAGTGCTCTAAGCTGTGTACAAGAGGCAGCGGCTCAAGAGACATTCAGTGACACCCTCCTAACACTGGGGACAATCGCCATTCCCTGACTAAAAGTGTCTGGTTGCCTTTGTCTAACCTGTTTGATATCCACCATCCCTTGGCTTGCACGAGTGAGGAAATACTTACACTGGCCCTGGACAGTTTTTTGGTGGATCCATTCTTCCTCCACTGGTGACAAATTCCAGCACTTCCTGATTGGTTTTGCAAGGGTAGGGCATGTAGCCTAGAGAAAAAATCTCCCAAAGTAGCACACCAAAGGACCTGTGTCAGAAACCAGCCAACAATACCAATTAGGTTTCATTTGTGTTCTGCAAACCTGGCACGAAGCTGTGTAGGTAACACCACAGCAACAACCTTTCAAAGCTGTAGGCCAACCACAGTAACGTGCAATTAGCATGATTATGAGTCAACTTTGGTAGAAAAAACCCGATCAATCAAAACCTTTGCTCAAGCTCCAAAACTAGCTTTGCAGAGGTTTCAAAATATTTGAGTAACTCTGAAATTGTTCCTTCTGCTGCATTTGTTATTTCTGGAGCAGGAAATGCCAGACCCCTCTTTGCTATGGTATGGTCTAACTGAAAAGAACTGTTAGATCTGGCACGGAGAATCCAACCTTACTTGGGAAGGCTTGAGATGTTTGAATCAGTGTTTGGGAAGAGGATGCTCAGAAATAAAATCAAGTGAGAGACATCCAGTGAAACCGAAAGGCAGCAGCATTTATTTTTTGTCATGGTACGGTTGTTTTCCTTTTTCTACATCCATGGGTCAGCTAGGCAGTGCCACTGAAAATAACGTGTGACTTAGACACTGGGGAGTAAAGATGGTTTTGCCAGGACTTTGGCAGGGTGAAAATTTTAAGGATCACTATTTGCTGCAAAGGTGGAAGGAATTTCCAGTACACACATGTTACTTATAGTAGTCTATCACAGGAACTGTAGCACTTTCCTTGAAAATATTTAGTACCGGCTGCTCACAGCTAGGCGCTGATAAGCAATCCCTTGTCTTCCGGCATCACTGACAACTTCAGGAAACTGGGTCAGTGTGGCATTTAAGGGAATGTCTCAGTACAGTATATTGAAGAATCTACTGTACAAGGAGAGAGGCGTTGTTAAGCAACTGGAAAGCTTCCATTCCTCAGCACCTGTGCATGAATATGCTACTGTTGAGAGGGTGCTTATTTTAAAGGAAGATGAAGTTACATGAGGAATCAATATATAAATACAGTTTCCTCAGCAACCAGAAAGCACTTCTGATTAAGTCTACTGTTATTTTATATACAACAGAAAAAAAAAGTATGAAAGAGTAATCCTGGGTGGCGCAGAGAGAGTCATTTACAAGGTATATAAGCAGGCCTTGTCACTGACCGAAACTGAGCGGCAGATGCTGAGGGTTGAGGGAAGTGTCTGATGGATTTCTAACTGTGACTTCTTCAGAATCGAAACTGCTTTCTCTTTTCACTTCTTTATTGCTTTTATATGATACTCTACATTTATTTATAGTGAATTTTTATTACCTCCATTTACATTAGATTTTTTTAATTCTTATTCAAAATGCTTTAGCCATGCTTCTACTGAATGCAGAGGGAAGACTTCTAATATTTTTCTGGTAAATTCTGTCATTTTTTAAGGTTCCTGCTAAGGAGAACTATATTTTTTTTCATGAGCAGTACATTTCTTGACCCTTGCCACTGAGTAGCAGAAGTGATTAAAAGACATGTTACCAGGTATCAGTCTTGGAGGTGAAAATGCCCTCTAGAAAAGCTTCTGGTGGCATCCACTTGACAGGAAGCATGGCTCTTCCTCCCTTGCGGTAGTAACTTGCTCTGGAAAGGATAACATGCATGAAGAACGTCACACAGTCAGAAAAGGCTCAGATACATAAAAGGTCTTGTCACCACAGCAACAGCAGCTGGGGATTGCATGTGGCAATGGGGGCCAAGTGAGAAAAAGGAGAAATCATCAACACAAATAATGCATTCAAGCAGTATTTTATATCCTCTTTGCAACTGGGATGGAAACTGAGGATGTTGTAGGTGTGTAGCTGAAGACATCAAATTTGCTGATGCTTTGCACAGGGTGCTGATGCAGCAAGTCTTCTTAACATCATAAACTGAGAATTATGGTGGGTTTTTTTGTTTTGGTTTGTGTTTTTTTTTAAATTCAAGATTATTTATGATCAACTAGCTAATAAATTTGCCTATTCACTGTCCATGTGTGTTTGCAATGTTCCCTGGGCCCAGTGTGGAATAAACAGTTGAAGTGTATTGGCTAGCAGGCATAGATGTGTTAATTTGTCTGTTAACTCCAGTTACTTAACTGGTAATCAAATTCAGACACATAATGGATGGTTTCACTGCTTCAGATTCCATGAGACAGTTCAAACTGGTCAAAATGATACTACTGAGTTATTCACAGGACTGTAACGGTCTTTCACTTACCTGTAAATATCCCTGGCCATCCCAAAGTCACCAATCTTGGCTATTCGTCCTGCTCCAGTACAGGTCAAAAGGCAATTCCTTGCAGCTATATCTCTTTAAAAAAAAAAAATTATTAATTCTAATTCTAACTCTTAAGTAGCTAAAGAAATAAAGAATATTAGACCCAGTCCTGCAAGTCTTAGCTGATTCTTCTTTACACAAATGAGAAGAGCCTGACTGAAAATGAGAAATAATGCCAGCTACATTATCAATTCTATTAACCACAATTCTTAAACTGCATTACATTTTATTTTCTATCCAGCGTTTTCCAAGCAATCCCCACTCCCACCTCCTTTCACTAAGGCAGAAAACAGGGTCAGTGTCAGACCAGGTACAGATCCAACCTCTTTTGCTTCAACAGCATTATGACAGGTTTCTTTCTTGCTCTATTATTTTTTTTTTTAAGAGTGGCATTTCAGCAATGTCTCCATTGGTAACAGATGTGATGCTATTGGGTAGTCTTAGTCGACTGCTTGAAAAGTCAATGTAGGACCAGACACATTAAACTGTTGCTTTGTTGCTTCTGGATATCTCCTGTGGAATCAAGCAAAGCTACATATGGGAGCAGCCATTTGCTGGGTGCAGGTTTAGCTTGTGACAAATGGCGATGACGACTGCATGGCCAAGACTGAAGGATTTGTATTCATTTTAAATAATGTGTTCGGAAAAGGAACTCATTAAAAATCATAGCACTATGGGGGTCCTGTTGACTGCCAAGAAATATGAGCTCTTTGAACAACTCATATGTTTCTTCCCACTGCCAGCCTTAAAAAGTTCCTGAGGATTTGGAAATCAAGCTCGGCTTTCTCTTCTATCATCAGCTGTGACTCCTAGATGACAAGATCTGCCTTTAGCGACATGTCCACAACCCCACTACCCTACCTTTTTCCCCTAGGACACTTGTTATCTATAATGATAACTTTCTTCCCTTCCCTATTAACTCTGCCCAGTAATACTGCCATCATTAACAAATACTAATACAGAACCTGAACTAAATTCCTTCTATACTGATTTTCTGAGTTGTTGACTAAAAGAAAACAAGTCCATTCCCAGTTGCTTATATTAGATATCTAACAGTGCAAAAACTGATTCAGAGAGTTTTTTTAAAGGTAATATGCTGCTGTTAAAAGAGTCAAGCACTAGTTTCTTCCATTTCTCTCCTGAAATGGAGATTGGACTTGAGCAATAACAGCTGGCCTGTCCATTTGTTGACATAAATTTTAGAAGCTTTATGTGATGACTGCTTGGCTCAGTGGCATACGATAAGAAAACCAGGGAATATCTAGCTGACAGGAGAAATGAAAATTAGTTTTATAAAACACTTGTGGAGAAAATTTCTGTTGCATTTCAATTGGACTTCTTGCAGCACAAGCAAAAATTGGCCCTTATCATAAATAGATCAGGGTGGGTGGAGGCTGATGAAGGGTATTACTATTACAGTAAGGATTTTTAAAAAATAATGCTGTAGTGATTAACTCTGAAGTTTCCAATTAGAATAATGATCCTCTCATATACTTACTAAGAGATCCAAGAATCAAAACTTGCTGCACACTCTTACTGCTTTTTTTTAATGACAGAAAATTCTAATCCCTTTTTCAAAGGAACTTATTTATTGTTCCGGTATAAAGGAGACTGAAAACCGTCTCAGATGCTCTAATCATAAAGCCATAACATATCCCATATCTCAGTCTTGTGGCTTTTTGCTCTGATTCCAACTTGCCACTTGTTTCCCTCAGTTTCTCCAGTCTCTCCCCACTCTCGCCTAGCTCTGCCTCTTTGCCCTGTGCAATGCCACGCGTACGTACCCGTGTGTGTGCATGTGGGTGCATCAGTTGCCGCTTGCATAACCGCAGGCTGCGCGTTGGTTTAGTTAGAGCCTGCGTGACCCTCTGTGCGGGCCCCTCCTTCCCTTCGCACACAAGGGCTGAACTCAGCGTGGAGTTCATACTCAGGAAGGAATTCAGTTTCGTCCTATGCCTGGGAACACTATGAGCTGGAACAGCTCTTAGTCAGAAGCAGAGGCGTCCAATATCCAGCTGGGAATTTTAAAAGGCTACCTATAATAACCTTTACCTCTTCTATTATATTTTATTCTTATTTGAAGCCTGCCATATCAACACACTCCTGCTCTGCAAAAGAGGAAAACAGGTACGAACAAACACAGGCTCCCCAAGACCACACCGCAGGTCAGCCACTGAGCTGGGAAGGAAGCCTTAGAGTTGTGTTTTTTTTTCTCCTGTTATCCCTGTTCTACCCTTCTCTAGTCAACTACTCAAATATTATGGGCTGTCCTGTGCTGATGAGATAGGGAAAACATTAAGTCAAGATAGGGAGCTCAGAAAAGAGAAATCGTACCTTACTGTCTTACAAGCTAACACAGAGTGACACTACCATCTAGTGGACCTCAGGGCTAATCTCAAATGCGTCTACACGTTGTAGGTACCTGAAAATTAACACTTGAAAACATTCACTGCAAACAGAAGATTCCTTTCTGCCCAGCAGTTCAAGGAGCAGTGCAGAGCCTAACTTCTACCAAAAACCAGTGAGATCACCCTGGACATCTGAGCACAGGCCTGTATTGGTAGAGGACATCTCTGCCTCTCCTCTGAAGATTAGTTCTGTCTAATCCATCAGAAACAGAAACTGTGTGAGCTTCAAGCACCTTGAGAAACATCAGAAGGGACCATTTCTCCTCACCTGTGGATGAAATGATTCTCTTCCAGATATTTACAGCCGCGGGCAATATCCCTAGCTATGTTCA